CAGAGCAGGTCAAACAGGGTTGGTGGCGGGCGTGGACGAGTGGACTTGGAGCTTCTGCTCATCTCAATGTTCCGTCAAGAACTGAAAGCACGGGATGTCCACAAAATACACATAGAAGAGCACGACTCACCGCTGAAGGTCCTCCAAAAACGCGTACACGAGTCGGTGTGATCGCTGGAATTGCGGCGCAAATTTAGGATCACTTCCAACTAGCACTCTGCCTTCTGTTTCAACCAACACATCCGCAATAAGAGCAGGTTTAAATCCCAAAAAAAAAGTCCATACGAAGGGCGTCTTTAGGTTATCTACCGAACAAATGTAATCTTGCTATTCTATCACCAAAAGAACATGAAACAATGGAAGGAGAAATATTGGCTACTGTGTAAAATTAAATGTGACATTATGTCATAACATTTGTACCGTACAACATACACTACCGTAGTGTGCGGTAAGATGAAACATACACTACTTAAACCACTTCATGATGAAATAGCACATCATTACAGCCAGGGCTGATTTTCTCAAGGTAATTACCCTGATTTCAGGGTGATTTCAGGCTTTCCACTTCGTGGAGACTGAAATTTCAGAGTTATTGAATTTCCAGCCCTGATCCAATCAGAGTAATAGTTTAGCTATCCCTGATTTCGAGTACAGTGTTACAGACTAGGCTGTTAGTGGACCCTGACTTAACAGAGTATCGACTGTGTGGACCCTGACTTATCGAGAGGAAGTTTCTCGGAAGTTTCCTTCCGATGACCCCGCCTTGGATTGATCGCAGTGATCCCCCCACATGTGCGTAATCCCCCCCTTCCCGCTTTATCGAGACGAAGTTTCTTCGAAAATTCGTTCTGATACACCTACCATCGAGATCGCGTGAATCTGCAATGTCAGATATACTTTGCTGGGATTGGTCGAAATAGGCTCTGACAGCGGAAATCTGTGACTCGAACAGGTGTGACTCGCCCGTTCGATTGGTACACTCGCTCCAGAAGGAACGCCTCTGAGGGTGACTAACTACAGTCGCAGCGTGTCTGATGCATGCCAGCTGAAAAGATCCAATTGGGCATGGTAATAAGACAGGGAAACGTTACACTCGCACACGAGATATGTCAATCACACCCGCCCTGCACAAATCAGTCGAGTGTATAGCCAGCAGGAAACACAGCGCGCAGACTTTATGGAGAGTGGGGATATTTTCCCCGGCAACAAAGCGCGCGTTACTACTTTGATGTTCAGTTCTCGACCCTGAACAATCAGTGTTAACTACTTTACAACCCTGAGCAATCAGGGTACTGCTTTTCTGGAAAATGTGCACCCATAATAGAGGGGGAAAATTTTCCCCGGAATCGGGGAGGCTTAAAATGAAACATCAGCCCTGATTACAGCGGTGGCAAGGCTTTATGCAGATGACACCCAATAAATGCAAAGCGCATATCATATCAATCATTATGAAAGAAGATTCGCGGGGGGAGGAGGGGAGGAGGGGGGGGGGGGCTGACGTTGTCGGAATACTAAACGATAATGAATGCATTGAACTAAAAGTTGGTACAATTACTAACCCTAATTGGGTTGTACCCCTTATGGGCTACCCTACTACAGCCTACACAATATAAGCATTATAACATTTTGACACACCCCCATAGGCAAAGTGGGGGAGAACAGGCCCTCAGATTCGTTTTTGGGTTGTCTGATTTGTCAGACTTAGTACACATTTTTAGTCTGATCAATCAGATTTGATACAAAAAAAAAACAAGCTGAAATTTCAGAGTTCAAGAGTAAAATAGTCTGAGGGCGTATCTTTGGTTCCGGTCATGAGCACTGTTTATTCAACTGTTTGGGGCATCCGCATTTAGCGCATGACCCAAAGTGGACTCTGGAAGCGCCCGCGGTTCGAACTTCGGGGCATCCAGGAAACTGCATGCGACTGGGGTGTTCAATGTGTACCAATCAGATTGAGCTGCGACCCCAGGTTGGGTCGCCCTCTTTAGACGGACGTTTACTTTCATCTCACGCCCGTCAATGTCCCATCTACACCAATAACGCCCAACACTTCCAACTACAACTGACGTGACCACACTCACCAAAACAAGCCCCGACACCACACCACCTCTCGCTCTCCCACGCTCCGGACGCCATGTTTACAAGCACAAGGCGGCTCCACAGCAAGGCTCATTTCTCCCACCGCGGTGCCAACGTAGCGGGCAACTTGAGAGCACTTTTCAGCTCAAGATGGCCGCATGCATCTTTCATCGTTGCTAATCGTGTTGCCATAAAACATGCTCACAGCACATGTGCTCATACTTTGTGTTGCCTTACACCTGTGGCATGAGTACCTTCTCAACTCGTGGCAGCGTGTAGTTTCTCTAGCCGCTGTAGAGTGGATATCCACACTCCTCCCTATGGCACATGTCAGAATGTATTTGCTGTCTAGCCTGCAGTGGGGTACTCTGTAGTGAGTACAACCCAATTTAGGGTTTGCTATTTGTATCCCAACTCTTGCTAGTGCTCCACCTCCTTCCATTTCTCTTTCGTGTACCCTCTACCCCACTCATGACTACCAAGTCCTAGCTAAGATTCTAACATGGCATCCGAGCGAGTACGCTCTTGGCCTGTGGGCCCACCTGCTTCCGCTACTGTCCTGTCTGTCGTGCGCCCCCTGGCGTGCGACGTTTTTTTTCTTCCCGCCACGCGCCCGGGGCGCGCGGGCGCACGGCGGTTTCCTGCCCCGTTGACCAGCGCGGGCCCCCCCTCCCGTCGCCCGTTGTGGCGCCCTCGGGGACCCGCGCGCGGCCCCTCTTCCCGCCGCCCGTCATGGCGCCCTCGGGGGCCCGCGCGCGGCCCCCTCCCGTCGCCCGTCGTGGCGCCCTCAGGGGCCCGCGCGCGGCCCCTCCTCTCGTCGCCCGTCGTGGCGCCTTCGGGGGCCCGCGCCCCCCCCCCCCCCTTCCGTCGCCCGTCGAGGCGCCCTCGAGGCCCCGCGTGCGGCCCCCCTTCCGTCGCCCGTCGAGGCGCCCTTAGGGGCCCGCGCACTGCCCCTCCTGCGGCTCGCGAACCGCCCCTGCAGCCCGCGAGCCGCCCCTGCAGCCCGCGTGCCGCCCCTGCAGCCCGCGAGCCGCCCCTGCCGCCTCCTGTCCTCGTGCAACTGCGGGGTGGGGGGTATGGGGGTGGCGGGTGTGTGAACCGTCCCCTGCTCCTCCTCCTCCTCCGTCTCCCACTGGTGCAGCTGCCGCTGAGGGGGGGTGGGTGTGTGGGAACCGAGGGAGTGGTGCTAGGGGGGTGACGTGGGAGTGGAGCTAGGGGTGCAGCAAGGGGTGTGTGAAAGGGGGGTGGGACTGTTGGGGGAGGTTGAGCGGAGGCTGCCGTCTTGTCGTCCGCAGCACCTGTAGTCCGAGGCTCTGCTGCTGGTAGCTCAGAGAGCCTGCTGCGCCTGACGCCCGTGGGTCCGTTGCTCCTGCCGCTCAGAGTTAGCCGCAGAGCCAGTTACTCCGGTAGTCCGGGGCCCTTGCTCCGGTAGCCACTGTGCGCGCCGCTCCTGTTGCCCGTGTGTTTGCAGCATCAGCCATCGCCTCCTATCTCCTCTCCTCTCACAGTCCAGCCTCCTCCTCCTCACTTGCCCTTAGTGAATGCCTCTAGCTTTGCTTGTACTGGTGAACCTGCTCTATGACTGCTTGCTCTGCTGATTATACCCCACTTTGACTATGGGGGTGTGTCAGAATGTATTTGCTGTCTAGCCTGCAGTGGGGTACTCTGTTGTGAGTACAACCCAATTTAGGGTTTGCTATTTGTATTTCAACTCTTGCTAGTGCTCCACCTCCTTCCATTTCTCTTTCGTGTACCCTCTACCCCACTCATGACTACTAAGTCCTAGCTAAGATTCTAACAGCACTGACCGTGGATCAGGAGCGCATGCTCCGTGAAACCGAGCGCCGCGAGAGTCGGAAACGGACTCGGCAGGCACGGGTCACAGAATGGGCCGAGGAGTTCCGCGCGATGTTTGACGAGGAGTTCGAAGATACCTTCCGCATTACGCGCGAAGTTCTCAACATCATTGCTGACAAAATGAAATTTCCAATGTCTCGTTTTGTCGAGGTGGCCGAAGTTCCATTGTGTCTTTGCTGTCTCATCCCGATTAAATACTTTGCATGTGCTATGACGTATCACGACATGAGTATCATGTTTGGACTGTCCAGAGGACTCATCCACCGCGTGGTAGATGCCTTCTTGGTGTGGTTCCCCCGCAAGTTCAAGCGCGACTGGGTTCAGTTCCCACCGGAGGAAGTGAGAGAGGAGATGGCACTCGACTTCCGCGCAATCAAAAGAGTGCCCAACGTCATCGGTGGGATTGACGGGACACACATTCAGATAAAGGGCATGGAGGCCCACCGTGGTGACTATTTCAACCGCAAGTCGGTCTATAGCGTGCAACTTCAAGTTACATGTGACTCAAAGGGTGTCATATGGGATTACATGGTTGGCAATCCTGGCTCAATGCATGATCAAGGTGTTTTCTCTACATCAGATCTTCATGGCAGGCTAGAGAGTGGGGAAATCGCCCCCTATCAGCTTGTGGGGGATGCGGCCTACCCTCTGAAGTCCTACATGCTCACCCACCTTCACGCTCCACGACGACGCCTCATGAAGAAGTGGGAGCAGACGTACAACTACGTCCAGTCTGCTACGCGCATGGTGGTCGAGCACACGATTGGCGCACTGAAGGGACGCTGGAGGCTCTTCGCGCGCAGGTATGAGAGCAAACTCTGGCGCGTTTGTGCAGGGACGGCCTACATCATCATCCTGCACAACATGCTACAGACCGTTAGTACGCCCAGGATGAAAACGAACAACCCCCGCCGCTATATATGGGCTGGACTCCCGAATGGCTGGTGGACGAGGAGTCGCATGGATAAGTACGAGTAGCGGAGCCTATTCAACCCTACGCTTGCCGAGCTGCGCGCTCGCCGGCACCACTTCGGCAAGCACATCCATCGTGCTTACCTCCGGCGTCACCGTGTGTCATCCACCGCGTGCTGAGGCTTGTGCTGCTCTGCCACATCCTCCGACCCCGCCATGTTGGCGTCGCTTGCGTCTGCAGGCGGTGCTGGTGGCGGCGTAGTCGCGGGCGCCGCAGGTGGTATGAGCGGACTGGCCATCTGCTGTCGTAAGCCAGCCTGCATTGCCGCCATGTTCATGGCGGCGACAAGTAGTTGCATCGAGTCTTGAAGTTGGCGCAACGCCATCGCATTGGAGGAATGAATGGCGTCGCTCACAAGCTTAGCTAATGCCATTGTGGCGGTTTCGTCTATCCGCCTTCGTTTGGGTGGAGGTGTGACTACAGCATCTGTAGGGGTGGGTGTAGGGACGTATGGCAATAAGGCGGCTTTGATGTTTGTTTGTATGCTTGTCAGTGAAATATGGTATTAAAGAGCATGGCTTTAATGTTGCTACTGGGAGTCACTGGGCAGGCCTTGAAGCATTGGCACAACTCACCTTGTGTTGCCGCTCCACGTCGGTTTCCGCGTTGACGTCCCTGCGAGGGAGAAGCCAAGGTGTGACTACAGCATCTGTAGGGGTGGGTGTAGGGACGTATGGCAATAAGGCGGCTTTGATGTTTGTTTGTATGCTTGTCAGTGAAATATGGTATTAAAGAGCATGGCTTTAATGTTGCTACTGGGAGTCACTGGGCAGGCCTTGAAGCATTGGCACAACTCACCTTGTGTTGCCGCTCCACGTCGGTTTCCGCGTTGACGTCCCTGCGTGGGCATTGGCTTTAGCCGAGTGTTTCTTGAGATGATAAACGTAATCCCACCACGGCTTCTTCGTAATAGCTTTCCCCCCGCTTTGCGTCTCCGACCGTTTCGTTTTCAGGTACTTTTTCTCGAGACGTTTCCATGCATTCGACATCTGCCCCTCATCGCGGTCCCACGTGTCGTCCCTCTCAACCATATGAGCTCGCAACTTCTTCCAGTACTGGCTCCCTTGCTTCCCTTGCATCGCCTTCAGGTCGTCCTTCGTGTTCCAACGAGCGGCCGCGAGTGATGTCAGCTCTGCGTCTGACCACACTTGCTTGTTGCGCTTCGCCGGCGGGCGCTTCTCCTTCTTCGATCGACGCGTGCTGCGGTCGTCACCGCTTCCTACTTCGGCACCGTCCGAATCTTCCTCTTCGTCGTCACTGCCGGCCTTGTAGTTGTCGGAATCGGCATCACTGTCCGATTCCGACACGATCTCCTCAAGATCGTCGTCGCTGACGTCTGTGTCGCCCCCAGTTTCGTCGTCGTCATGCCCAGGACCGCTGCTAGTGCTGGCGCCAGCAGATTCACGCTTTGCCTTTGCAATACGCTTGATGGAAGGGGACGGCTTCCCCTGCTTTTGCTGCTCCTTCATCCATGCGACATACGGGGGGTCTTCCATCGGTTCATCGTCGCTAAGTTTCTCCTTTCCCATGCGACATGCGTGCGCTTCGACGTGGAGGCATTGCTAAAAACGTAGATAGCGGGCTGGTGTGGAAGCTCGGGAAGACTTGTGAGGGAGATCTGTTTGCTCATGCTTGTGCTGATTGCCCAACTGCTGGAAAGCCTTGCATGGGGAAGTTGCAAGAGGGGTGTTTGGTTGGGTTGGGATCTGGAGCCGCACAGATCTGCATGTAACTCTACCCACCGGGAATTTTGACGGAGATGAGGGTGGGGTGAGTGTCGCTCAACCAGATGAAGGAGTTCGTGTGTCATGGAATGGCGCGTCTCAATTGGATGCGACTGTCGTGGGGCCCGAATTTTAGGCGGGAAAACCCACGCGCCAGTTTGGGGGTCGCATGAAGGCACTGGATCCAAAGTGGTGTTTTGTATTGTTTGAGTCATCCGCAAAATGCGGATGCCCGGAACAGTGCCCATGACCGGAACCAAAGATACGCCCTGATATACCAGAGTTCACATCGGTAGTGAAGCTGGTTGATCAGCCTAAAACGAGGTGATAACCGCGCTGCAACACTGCTGTCACTGTTTCAGCGAGACTGACAGAACATAATTGTACTTCCAGCGCTAATCGCGGCTGTCAGGTCAGATTTCGCTTAGGCATAACGAGAGTAGGTGCCCACTAAAACGCTCATGAATCAGAGTACACTCTGAGAAAAAGGCTGAAATTTCAGACAAGGCCTAGAATATTTTTCTGAATATTCAGAGTTCACAGCAAAAAAAACTCTGAACTTTCAGAGTTCACTAAGAAAAAAAGCTGAAATCTCAGAGCTTTTTAAGCAAATCATATAAATCTCTCTGACTTCTAGGGGCCTGGGGGAGAACAAGTGGTCACAAGACCAGTCAAGAAAAGCAAAGCAAGCTCAGGGTGGATCACAAAGTCACCACACATTCCGAGCACAAGCAAATGGCCACAAGGCCAGTTCACATGCAGAGTTATATAAAAGAGAACAAACAGTACAGTGATCATATTTGTAGATCACAGTACAAGCAAAGTCACGCAGTGAGCAAGTGAGGCAAAGTAGGCACAAGGCCTAAAACAGTACAGAAACACTGATGATCACCAGACTGAAGTGCCTTGGTGAATATATCAGCAGTGTTGGCCCAAGTGGCCACGTAAGCAAGACGAAGCTGACCACGTTGCTGCAACTCTCGAGCAAGGAAATAACGCAAAGCGATGTGCTTTGTTCTGTGCTCCATTCTGTGCTCTTGACACAAGGCAATCATGGCCTTGCTGTCTACGTACAGAACTGGAGAAGAATGAGGCCGCTCCACCAAGTCGGTCAGCAGGTAGGTGAGCCAGCGTAACTCCTGTGCAGCCATGGCCCCTACGTAGATCTCAACCTCACAACTAGAACTGAGAACAGAAGACGAGCGGGTAGACCGCCAAGAAACAGAGCCGGAGCCAAGGCTGAAAGTGTAACCCTGTGACAACAGCTGCGTAGCCAAGTCGTCAACCCAAGAAGCGTATGCGTGTCCAGTGAGGACAACTGGACCCCGTCCTCCAAGCACGAGCCCCATGCCCGATGTACTGCACAAGTAGCGCAACACCCTCTTAGCGGCCTCCCAGTGCTCTGGTCGGTGTCTCCCGGGCGCAACGTAGCATGCCAAGATGCTAAGAGGGTAGGCAAGGTCAGGTCGAGTGCAGGTCATCAGGTATATGAGGCAACCCACAAGCTCTGGATACGGGCCACTCGGCTCTACAGACTCGTTCGAAGATGGAGTGACCGGTAGGCAGAGGAGTGGACGGTGGCGAGGAGTATTGGAAGCCGAAGCGCTGAAGGACCTGGTGCACCATGTGTGACTGAGTCAGGGTGATGGTGCGCCGTGCTCTGTCCTTGGTGATCTGCAAGCCAAGATAGCTGCGCAACTCACCCAGGTCAGTGCAGGTGTGTCTCTTCTGCAGCCCCGACTTCACAAGGGCGAGTGCCTCAGTGTCCGCAGTGGCAAAAACCAAGTCGTCGACGTACACAAGGATGTAGAACGGCGGCAGCAAAGTGTCGGTGCGCAGAAACAGTGACGGGTCAACAGTCGAAGGAGCAAACCCAAGAGCCACAAGTGTCATCCTCAGTGTGTCGTGCCACTCGAGAGGCGCCTGGCGGAGATCGTAGACTGGCCGCCGGAGGCTCCATTGGGTACCTGCAGGAAACGACCCAGTGAAGCTAGGTGGGCGGCGCAGCCAGATCTCCTCGTGCAGGCTGCCCTGTAAGAAAGCTGTGCTGAAGTCAAGAGAGTGCAGCTCGTAGTCACGCTGAGCGGCGACGTGTAGCAGAACCCGAAGAGTGGTCATCTTTGGGGTAGGGGAGAAGGTCTGGAAGAAGTCAACTCCCTCTCGCTGACTGAAGCCTCGAGCAACGTAACGAGCCTTGAAGACAGGCGGAGAACCCGGCGGCCGCTTCACCCTGAAAATCCACATGCCATCGACTATGTTCGCCCCAGGAGGTAGAAATGCGTCGACGTAGGTGCATGTGGACTTCCAGGATGCCATCTCTGCGTCCATGGCCGTCTGCCATTGAGAGGAGTAGGGACCCGTAATCGCCTCTACGTAAGAGCACGGGGTCTGGATGTCTGGTGCATCCGGGTCTACCTCATGTGCAAACAGCATGGCCACGAGATGAGGTACAGCAGCTGCACGACACTCAAAGTCCTCCTGCATGTCCTCAAGGACGTCTGTGCCAAGAGCACACTCACCCCCGACAGACGGAGGACGGTACGACTTAGACTCAGCAATAAGACTAGTGGCGTAGTCGAGACGATAGGCGGCAACAAAGTCAACAAGCTCAGCAACAAGGGCAGACAAAGCAGTGGACTCAAACGAAGGGTCAGTGACAACAGTGGCTAGAAGACGTGGGACAGTAGGACTGGTAGCACGAGCTAAGTCAGACTCAGGGTCCAAACCGTCAGGAAGAGAGGACGCAGGAGGAGACGGCAGGGGAACTGGCAGTGGAACAAAGGAAGGACGAAGTGCCATAATGTGGGTGCCGAGGTCAGGAGGAGGACGCGGACGAGGAACATGACAACCAGTGCGAAGAGCGCGAGCAGGCGAGGCAGGACAAGATTCAGGCTCACGTCGCTCTGTAAGAGAGTCTGTCTGCTTAGCGTAAGGAGAAGGAGCAGGCAGTGGGGAGTTTGGCTGTAACCGTGGCTGCGACTGGTGAGGCGGTGGACACAGCAAGCTAGGAGTAAGTCCAATAGAAGACGGAAGACTAAGAACCTGGCGAAGGACCGAGTTAGGTGGCGGCAGAGACGACGGTGGCGGCGGAACGAAAAACGGTCGCCGCTGCACAGTGCCTCCAGCACTAGTACCGTTAGCTCCAAAAACCCTAGCGCCAGCACCTCCAGCTCAAGGGTCTCCAGCTCCAATGCCTCCAGCTCCATTACCTCCAGCGCCAGCGCCTCCAGATCCAGTGCCTCCAGCTCCAGCGCCTCCAGCTCCAGCTCCTCCAGCTCCATCGCCTCCAGCGCCAGTGCGTCCAGCTCCAGGGTCTCCAGCTCCAGTGCCTCCAACACCACCAGCTCCGGCAGCTCCATTACCTCGAGTACGAGCACCTCCAGGACCAACAGCTCCAGCACCTGCGCTATCTCCAGCTCCAGCAGTAACTCCAGCACCTCCAGGACTAGAAACTCCAGCACCTCCAGCTCCAGTGCCTCCAGCTCCAGCGCCTCCAGCGCTAGTGCCTCCAGCTCCAGGGTCTCCAGCGCCAGTGCCTCCAGCTCCAGGGTCTCCAACTCCAGCGCCTCCAACACCACCAGCTCCGGCAGCTCCAGTACCTCTAGTACGAGCACCTCCAGGACAAGCAGCTCTAGCACCTCCGGTACCTCCAGCTCCAGTAGTAACTCCAGCACCTCCAGGACTAGTAGCTCCAGCACCTCTAGCTCCAGTGCCTCCAGCGGCAGGGCCTGCAGCTCCTGCAGCGCCACTCCTAAGGCGTGTGCGCAGAGCAAACCACTCGCGCAGCTGCTGCAGTGAGAGAGGCTCCCACCGGTGAGACATTCGTGGCGAGGCACCCGCAGGACCTCCGGCAAACGCAGTACCCATAGGCTCAGCACCCTCGGACTCTGCACCCTGAGACCCAGCACCCCCAGGCTCCGCACCCTCAGGCTCAGTACCCCCTGGCTCCGCACCCTCAGGCTCAGCACCCCCAGACTCCGCACCCTCAGACTCAGCACCCCCAGGCTCCGCACCCTCATGCTCAGCACCCCCAGGCTCCTCACCCTCATGCTCAGCACCCCCAGGCTCCGCACTTGCAGGCTGAGCACCCCTAGGCTCCGCACTCACAGGCTCAGCACCCCAAGACGCAGCATCCCAGACACACCACCCCCAGACACAGCACCCCTAGCAGCACCTGAGTCGACAGTGACCTTGACAGGCTCAGCCAGGAGGAGTGGGTCTACCTGAGACACACCTGAGGGAGCAGGACCCTGAGGGGAGAGGGGGACTACCGGAGGGGGACCTGGAGCGAGGAAGAGCAGCGGGGGGGAGAGAGGGGCAAAGCGGTAGGGGAAGAGACGGTAAAAGGGAACCGACTCGTCAAACGTGACGTCCTGAGAGAGCAGGACACGGCGCGAGGTGGGGTGGTAAAACTGCTAGCCATGCGCGTCAGGGGGGGAACCAAGGAAGACGCAGGGAATGGCGCGGGAGGAGAGCTTGTCCGCGGAAGTATCCCGGACAAAGGCACGAGAGCCCCAGACCCGGAACACTGACGCATCGCCAACCTCCCCCGTCCAACGCAGTGTAGGCGAGGTCTCTGGAAAAGAGACACGTGGCCAGAGGTTAAGCTGATGCGCAGCGTACCGGACCGCAAATGGCCACAAAAAACGGGGAGCAGCCGCATGGATCATGGAGGTACAAGGCACCTCAACAACCCCATTTTGCTGAGGGGAGACCGGAAGCGTGAACGACTGGAGGATGCCCTCCCCACGACAAAAGTCCCGCAAGAGGTC